AGCAGCTATGGCGATCCTGCAGCTCTTTAACGGCTACTGCTTAATCCCAGTCCATAAACAGTTCTTCCTGCTGCTTGAGAGGGATGGCGAAGTAGATCCCAATGTGAGCCCAATATGTGTCCCTAGAAGCATGCCTCTCCGCTTACTCCCCAAACTCTGGCTGAAGAACCAACAAGTGCTGTGGGCTACTAACTCAAATTCTTGAAAAGTTAAAGGACACCCATCTATGTATAGCAGCTAGTGTGCCAGTAACGGGGAACCATATGGAAAAGAATATGGGACATGAAATGGAAGCTGGGATTATGCAGGGGTTACGGGGATAGCAATTGAGGAAAATTCTTGCAAATCACAGGATGGACTTGTTCATCACTTGCGGCCCTAAACGCTAAACCCTGAACCTGGTATGCTCTTAGAAGCTTTGCAAGCAGACTCCTGTATGAACAGTGGCCATGAGTATGCATCGTGCGCAAGGTTCGGATCTCTCGCCCAGCGGTTTAGCGTTTAGGATATAGGGATTCTGTAGGGATATAGGTTATCGTCCTTATAGTGAAGAATCGAATGGAAAAGAACCTGGAAAATGAGATGGACACCTGTGAATATGTAGAGGTTTATAGAGATTGTATATGCATGTGTAGGGTTCAAAGCTCCCGAGCACTTAGTTACAAAGCCTTGTGTCATCTTCCACGTTGCACTGAAAGAGCCCCACGGGCTCCTCTGGAATCCGTATCAAGAACAATCACGACAGCTACCCTAAGGGTTCTAGGGGGATATATAGGGATATAGGGGGATATATAGGGATATAGGAGGATGATATAAGGGTCCAGGGACCCAAATAATAGGGCTCTAGGGGCCCAAATACTATAATCATGTGGTAGTTGGGCCCTGAAACCCTATGATTTGGGTCCTTGCCCCCTTAGGGTTCGCGCATGAACATGAGAAATGGTGAGAACCCCTTCGAGGGTATACACGTGCCCTGTATACTCCTGTCGACGAACACATTGTCTGCCTTCTATGCCAGTGCTAATGATCTTCTTCATTTGGGGCATAAACCTGGTCTCAGACATGCCCATATGACCTACTGTCAATTTGTCTTACAAGATGTAACGGACATGGGTTCCTTATGAGGGACTATCTTGGGGACTACACAAAACTACAAGAGAGACATCCCCACGTCCACCGTTGAGGGTCCCTTAATAAGGATGATCTTGACAGTAACTCATACAGTTGTTTGGATGCAAATGCTGTGGCTGAGATATCCGATGGTGATAAGGCTACATTGCACAATGCCTCCGGCGATGCAAAGGACCGTGAAAACCTTGCACACAACTCCCACGGCAACGACCCACTGAAACTGAGGCATGATTTCAGGGGGATGAGGGGTTCGGACTCACAACTCACAGTTCATGATACGGCGTGTTATAGACTTGTAGAGTCCAGTCTAACGTGGGACAGAGGGATATAGAATCGTTGAGAATAGGATGGGCTTAGATTGATACATTTCAATAATTACGCCCAAAGTACTAGAGGCAAAGGGGATAGAAACATAGGGATTGTATAGGGCTAATGTTCCCTTATTCCCTACTAAATAAGGGAACAGAAAAAGAGGGATTATCTAGAACTAATTTTCCCTTGTTCCCTACTAGGCACCAAGCAGGCTGCCTTATGAAGCGTCAGTTCAACAGAGCATGGGGCCCGGGGACAGGGGGAAGGACCTTTAAGGGTTTAGGGTTTTGGGTTTAAAGCCCCGGGCAAACGAATGACTTCCTTGGAATCAGAACCCCGTACCCCACAGTCCCCAAACACTTGAAACGTACACGTACTGCATTGGAAACATGAAAATGTGTTTGGGAGTACGTTTTCCTGTTGGGGGGCTATGCCTGCCTCCCTCCTATTTGTGATCAGTGTGCTTTCAAACCTCGACTTAGGGAAGACTCCCTACGTAAGTGGACAATAGGTTTAACTAGGGTTATTACTACTCCCTGACCCTCCAAGTACTGTAGTGCCCATATCGGACACACTATGGCGGTTCCAAGAACTAACGTCCCTTCTTGAGGGTGCCCATTACAAGGAGAATTCTATATTGGAATGTATTTTAAGGACCTCTAGTTCGGAACTACCTATCTCTTGCAAAAGAAAAGGACTAGGGAACAAGTGGAAGAAGACGTGTTACCGAACATTCCGGCTGGTGCACTGTTATCCGTGGGAGCTGGAAGGTATTTCCCGTGTCCATTGACAGGGAAATCAGCAACACCGGAGCTACCACCCACAGACAACACTGGAAAACCTAGCATAGAAGCCTAAACTTAGACAATTATCAATACCATTTTGATTTCTAGTTGCAGTATCCCATACTATACTTATACGAGGAAACTGGGACCCACATCTGTAGTCATTTGAGCTTCTACATTGCCTTAGCTGCCATTATGGCCCTGACTTTGACCTCAAATCCAAAAGGAGCCTCTCATTAAACCTGACTTGCAGTCCCAAAGGGTCCATGTAGCTATATGGTATATACTTGGGCCTTAAAGTAGGTATATGGGAACCCCTTTGGGCCCTAAGTATCTACCATATTCCTACATGGACCCTTTGGGAGTACAAAGGGTCCATGTTGGCGCCATCCCTGAGCTGTTGTGCTTGCAGGGATCTGATTGTAGTCGTCCTATTTCCTTCCCGTGATTAGGGTTTAGGGTTTACTCAAAACGCCCCCACCCCAGCGGGAATTTGGCATAATAGGGGTGGGGGATTTTAATGCTAGGGGGAAGGACTTATGCGGGGCTCGGCCTATACTACTGTTCTCGTATCAGGAATAGCAAGTGTATATAAAGACCCATATTATGATAGACACACGACACTAGGGACCCGTATCTCAATGAATTGGGAAGCTTCCATATCTCATGTTCCATTTCTTGTCCCCTTACATTTTCATATTCCCCCATCATTGAAGTCCCGCCCCTGGTGAGTCACCTCGGAAACCGTGAAACAAAAGCCGTAGCTCCTAGACGGAGAGGCCCCAGAAGGTGAAATTAATCTTCCAGAATTGCATTCTCGCTTACGTCCCAAACTCTTATCCCTAAACCCTAAACCCTAAACCGACTCACACCCTCCACGCTACACACTCTGCCTCTCTGAAACATAAGCGCTAAATCACTAAACCCCCAACTTCAAACCCTACACCCTAAGAGGAGGTGAGCACCCAGTGATGCCAAGACCGGAAAGAAGAGATGAACTTCCACTCACAGGCTGTTGGCATGCCTTTTGACGGAGAAGGGGCTTAGGGCTTAGGGTTTTAGGGTATAGGGCTTTAGGGTTTTCGGGGTATAGAGCTTTGGAGTTTTTAGGGTTTCTTGATTCGGGATTAGGGCTTCGGGAACAAGATTTAGGATTTTGGGTTGAGGGTATAGGACTCATGTAAGGGAATTTAGGTATTGTGGAGGGTGTACAGGGGGCATCATGACGTCCTTGGGGAGTAATGGAAAATGGACTGCAAAGGGATGTGGGGGATTAGGGCTTACAGGGGCTTGGAGTTCAAACTTTACAGGTTTCGGTTTAATGGCGGGTAGCGACCGCAGAGCTTATGGCACAGGGGTTCACAGATACCCTTTACATGGAGGATGGCAGATGCAGCATGCACATCATTAACTCCATGGCATGCGCTAACAACAGCAAACAAGATATGGACTCTACTTTCAATTTGTATGGAACACGGCTTTGTGGCAAGTTTACCAAAAAGGCTTCCTGAGGTCTTCTTTGGGTCTATAGGCTTTCCACGCATGGGGGTCCGAAACATAAATCCCAAAATGCTATAGTCATTACAGGTGCTTATATATAATAACTCGAAATCTTCTCTCGTCCCAGTTGCCATTTCCTTGTCAATTTTCTTGACCACTCGATGCTCGATTACGGGGCCATATATCCTTTGTACTTCTTATCCTTACATATACGCCCTATAATCCCTATGCAAGCCTTGACCCTCGACACAGGATCCAAGGGCGCCCTTGGAAGTCTTCAACATGGTGGGGGTCCAGGGATATTTGGGTACAAGGGGATTGAGGTTTTAGGAGTTAAGGTTCCAGGTTCCGAGTTTAGGGTTCAGGGTTGGCGGTTATGCGGGGAGATGCTCTGCTCCGAATATCATCATGGTCAACCTCTCTTTGAGGGGTTCTCAGTCGACTAGCTGCAGCCCTGGGGGCCCAAGTAGCCCAAAGTAGGTGACATTTATAGACATTTGTACCCAGTTTAGTGTTCAGGCGTTTAAGGGTTTTAGGGTTTAGGGGCCCAATGTATCATCCGGAGACTTAGAGCCCTAGGGTTATGACTGTAAGCTGATACAACCCCCTTACTGGATCCTTTGCTTATGAACATTGGGGTCCCGAAAGCCACCGTCCTTGTAACAAGAACAAAGAGTCCAAGTACTTAATGATGCTATACTTCGCCAGAACCTGCAGTGTCGCTACTATTTCCCAAATCTCACGTACCTAATTCCAGGGTACCTGAACACCCTCTGCAGGGAACGATTGCAGGCTCGAGGTTAAAGCACGCTGAGGCGATCCGGGGCGTGTTCCAAAAGATTCCATGAAGCTACATGATATATACTGGAGCCCCACATTCGTTACATGGAAACCCCTCTGGGCCCAAGTACACTCTGAATACTTACCTAAAAACCCAAAGCCCTGAATCCTACCACCTTACACCTATAAGAACATCTAGGTCCTCAGTGTATGCCTATATGGAATTTCTGGGTTTGCCCCCCGCCCCGCAACGTACAAGCACATGCCCGTCTCTCAGAAGAATGCAAGATATCCAACCCTGACCCCCCCCAACCTCGATCCATGGGACATTCGAAGAACCCTACGGGTCCAAGTATTTGATAATAATTTTCTTATCCAAAACCTGTACTGTAATTACTGTCGCCCTATTCCCAAGCACCCTAGGCCCCTAAACCCTACCTGATTCTTGGCTACTTGGACCTTCTGCAAATTCTGGGCATCAATACTTGGGCCTCATTCTTTCCGTCCGCCGAAGAGGTCCGACGGACGAGACCTTGCAGAGGCCCAGGACTCAGTTTTCATGGGTAGGGTTTAGGGCCTAAGGTTTGTAAGGGCTCGGGTAGATATCTTATGAAACAATAGCGTAATTGTAAGGGACTAGTTCCAACTTTGTTTTTACTATTTCTGAGGGCGGGTGTAGTTGCTTCTGGGGCTGTCCTGACATAGCCCAAACCAAAACACAATACTTAAATCAAAGCACCAGACCGAATCTCTAGAAACTCCGAATCGTCAAAGAAGGATTTCACTGTAGCAACTTCAAGCTGCCTAGATATAAAACAAAGGAACCCCAAATGCTATACAGTTCGGAAGTTGTACCCTAAGTTTCCAAGGACCCAAATAGTAGGGTTTTAGGGCCCAAATACCATTAATATTATGATGTTCAGGCCCTAAAGCTCTATTATTTGGGTCCTTGAACCCTTGCAGGTAGTATATTCCGAACCGTCCCTTGCCCTCCTTCCACGGTTCCCTCCGCACTGCTGGAGCCTTGTGGGAGCCACTGGCAGAGGGGCCGGGATGACGATTTCCTCCTTGTGCAAAGCAAGCATATTCCCCTAAGGGTCCATGTACCCAATAACTGACTACATGGAATTTCGGTACTAGTGATTCTAGTACAGGTTTTAAGTAAGTATAGGATTCTTGGACCCTTAGTGTTCCCCAAGGGCCCTAAGTACACCTGTAGGGAATTGCTGCAAGAGCCGTGTGAGGGACGGCTGCGCTCTTTGGCGCATCTGCCTACTGATAAGGAACATTTACCCAAATCATGAGGGAAGTTCCTACTACATGTGTTGTACCATGTAGGTACTTTGTACCCTTTGAGATAGGATTTGGGGTTTAATGTGTAGCGCGAAGACAGCCCTACAAACTACCTAAACTACCTAAACCCCAAACCCTTTTCTGCGCACGACCGAAGGCCAAACTTGAGTATCTTTGGTGGTCAGGCCATTGTTGGCTTAGGGATTAGGGTTTGGGGTTTACGGTTTAGGGATAAAACCCCTAAACCCTGAACCCTATCATTCTGAATTCTTGCGGTCCCTTGAGGGCCCATGGGCCTAATTGAGTACCGATATCATGTTGAGCTCTGTTTGGGTAGCCTGTACAAGAAATCTGCGACCATGATTGCGGTTCACAATCGAGGCCCCTATACCTTTTTTTTGGGGGGGTAACCCTACAAACCCTAGACCAATTCCGGGACTCGAGGGTGTGCCAAACAGATTTATTTTTGAAATCTAGCCTTATAGGGACTCAAGTAGCCCCATGTGCTGGCCTAATAGTGGAGATTCAAATGGAAAATCAAACGGAACATGACAAGGAATCTAGGAGTTTAGAGGGGGGCTAGGGATCCAAATAGCCCAATGCACAGACTGTAGGGCCCGACGTAAATTTCGGGAGGCCGACAGGGGTTTCAAGTCAAGGGTTTGCCTAGTGCACCTCGGTTGTTTTTGGGTGGTTGAACCACGTAAGGTTATATTCTTCTCATCATACGCTCTACCCACTCTCTTCCTCTATTGAAGTGCAAAAGCACCCAATTGAGCCTTGGGTGGGTCTGCTTCAGGGGGTTTAGGGTTGGAGATTTGGAGCTTCGGGGTAAGGTTGACGGTTTAGATGGCTTAGCCTGTAGGGCTTAAGGTTTGGGGCTAAGGTTTTCAGGTTTTGGGGGGTGTGGGGTGTGAAGAGGGCATTTATCAAGGGGCCATTATGCGTCTTATGGTAACTGCAAGTGTAAGATGGAATGAGCTGAGACTGAGGTCAGTTGTAGATGTAAAGGTGGGCGCATGGCAACGTGATGAAGAAGTCGTCCAGGAGGGTCTTGCGATATTCAAAAGAGGTGTACCGCGAGTAATCAATCCTGGATGGACAGGCATATGCCCTCACGACTTTACGATGTAAAGTGGCGTCCATGTTCTCTTCCATTATTCCTATATAACCCCAATGTACTATATAGTAATTTCAATTTTCTTCTCCATTATTCCTATAGATCTGGAGGCCTCAAACTACTGTGCTTCGTGACGGGCGGCGCGCATCTTCGAGTTGCATGAATGGTCTTGCTACGTTCTTCTGTTGGCAAGTTAAGGGAGTCAGGGATTTGTTGGTTTGGGTTTGGGCTTTAGGGTTCACTGACTGGCGTTCGCGGCCTACATGTGGGCTTGGGCTCAGGGTGGGATAGCTTGGGGTTCTGATTTTAGCGGCTATCGTACACCGTACACCCTTCACAAGCTGAAGCAGGTGCAGCGTTTCGAGTTGAAGAACTAACCCAAATAGTAGTTTCCATTTTCTTTTCCATTATTCCTGTATAATCCCAATATAACCCCAATATAATCCCCATATCTCCCTTTAAAGGGACCTAGGGTTCCATTTTCTTTTCCATTATTCCAGTTCCCGGAACTTGCCTTGCCTGAGCCCTGAAGACTTTTTGCCCTCAACGCTTTATGATTTTAGGGGTTTATAGGGGTTCTATAGGGACCCCTATAACCCCCCTTTAAAGAGTCCCTGTATAACCCCTATAACGGGCTTCAGCCCCACCAGAATTCAACCGCAGGCCACATGCCGGCAGGCAATTTCTGTGTCTATGTGCGCCTGTCATTGGAAGAGATCCAGCACCATCCTTGGTCGCCTATACCTAGCAAGGCCTAAGCTGGTGCAAGAATTCCTCCATCAACAGCATCTTGCATTTCTTTTTGGCTATTCTTTACTTGGTTTGGCAGCATGAGGTCCATTCATATGATTGTAACCCAACAAAAAGTGTTGGGCTCTAATCTCATGTGTCCTCGTGGGGCGGCGGTGGTGTTGTTGATCTGGGAGGTTGCCACCTGGCAGCTTCTGAGTTCAGAGTTGAAGGCAAGCTTAAGGAGTACCTGGATTTCCCAAATACCCATTAAAGTAGCCTGTAGACCCACTTTAGGAAGGTTAAGGGCATTGCGGGTATCTGTACGTTCCTGGTAAACCCCAAGCCCCCACCCTTCTAAGGAACAGATAATCACTCCCCCCTCTTATTAACCCCTGCAGCCCCTAGTATTGATATTCCATGATGATATTCCGTATAGGTTCTAGTCTACGAGAATGGGAACTTGCAACAGTAAATAAGTAAAGGGGTGAGGAGTTTGATACTATGGGGAGGTGTTTGAGCACTAAGCTAGCGTTCAGGGACAAAAGCATACCAAGACAATAGTGTAGGGACCTGCATCAACACCAAAATCCAGAGCTCAACATGATGTGATGAGTACTATACCCTTAACCCTAAATCCTATACCCTAAATCCCACACCGTAAACCCTTCGTATAAACCCAAAACCCTAAACCTGATAAATCCTGATGCCCTGAGGCCAGACTTCGCCCTACTGGAAGCATTGCCACCCTACCACAAACGAATATGCAATCTGAAAGGTGCCTTTCCTAGCCTGCGGCCCTTATCAAAGTTTAGGGTTTAGGGCTCCAGGGTTCAGGGTTTAGGGATTCAGATCTTCAGGGCTTTAGGGCTTTTAAGGGTTTAGGGGTTTGGGATTTTAATGGGGCTGCTATAGGGTTCCATGTCAGCTTGGGGGAGGGTAGTTCTCAACACCAGAAACTGATTGCTGATGCCGGGTCAGGTAGAACAACGTTGATGCTATAACTGTTACAGGTGCTGAAGCATACTCAAGAATTGACAAAAATATGGGACACCTGCGGACACTGCACCCTAAAACCTAATCATGGACCACGTCACAACTGGCTTCAATAAATGACGAAAACTCCTAGATACTGTTTTCCTTCTTATAGGGAAAGCCTAAAAATCCCGAACCGGGATACCCTACACTACTTTGTAGACTGCAGATTTTTCAGCCCAGCACCCTCATGTCCCAAGCCCAGGATCCATACTTAGCACCGCCCAAGTTTGCTCTCCGGCTGCGGTTTTTTTTTTATGGATTCACTACGGCAAACAAGGGAGAACTTAGAGAGGTCGTATAGGTGGGGGTAGTAGGGGAACCTATGACAACCTCAAATCTCCAACCCCTAAACCCTAGACCCTGAGGCGCTACCATGGACTGAAAATCTCAGGTTGGGGCGGCCAATCCTGCACAGAGTTGGCACCCCTGTGCGCAGGGTTTGGGCTTAAGGGTGAGTCTAACCACTGTTATATGGGGTATGATGTCGGGTGAAGGTTATGGATGTATAGAGTGAAGGATATAGGGTGAAGGCGTAGCCATAGAAACCTGAACTCCAACCCCTCAAACACTATAAACTCCAGAATCTCTCAACCGAACGGCCAGTAGAGTCGCAAGAGGTCCCTGTTCTGTTGAGAAACCATCTCCGATGATGAATTACAGCATTGTGGTACCCCCAACTCCCAAAGTCAGGACCCTGTGGCTCTCAAAGGATCCGGGGTAGATTCCTTCTTCAGCCGTAAGAAGCCTACTTCAAGCATACCAGGAGAGCAGGTGAAATGGACATGAGTGTTCAAACGTACTGACGTACGCTGACGGAGGAAAATTTCCGTTCCTTGGCTTATCTGCAGTAATGTCTTACTACTGTTGGATTTAGGATACCAAGAGTGGTGCAGGAGTACTTTCTATAGATTCTATAGCTCAGTCTCGAACCCTGAACCCCAAGCACCAAATCCCTCAATCCTGAATCCCTCAATCCTGAATCCATGGGCTCCCCATCTCAAAGCCCCTCCAGAACACGATCATTATGCCATGCAAGAGATCCTGCCAGGACCCAGACCTGAATCACGAAATGCCATCCCCCAGGAATCGTATGGCAGCGGGTTTGGGGCTACCCTGGTACCCTAAACCCTGCAACAGCGGTTAGGTTTAGGAGGGGTTGTATGGGGACTACGTAGGCATAAATCACCAATAATGCAAAGTCAAATGGAACAGCAAAAGGACAATGAAATGGACATTGGTGTTACATGACCCAAGTATGCGGTGCCGTACCACAAGGGAGGCCCAAATGCCAACATGGGGCTTTTGGTTCAGGGTTTAGGAGGATCCGTCTGTGTACCCCCAACATAGTGGGATCTTGTTGGGAGGTAAGAAAGGGCCCACAGACACACAATCCCAACCGCTACAATACCCGTGCACAAAGCAACCTGACCATCATTCCAATACGCCCCTTCGAAAGCAGGGGGCCCTTAGTTTCGGGAAACTCCCATTTCCCGCCTTAGGGGTCCTTCTCATGTACCCCGAGATCTTGCAATCCTGAATGTAAGATCTCGCGAGAGGAACACACAATTTCGAGTAACTCTAAACCTCAAATGCCTACATATCCCTATATCTTCCTTAAAGGGATCCCTACATCTCCCCGTATTTAGGTCCGCTATCCTCCTTAAAGAGTTCCCTACATAACACTATATCCAATCCCTATATATCCCCCTTAAAAGGATTGACCCCTCCTTTTTGGAAACTTCAGACGCTTCTGAAACGCACCCACCTTGCACCGCCACAAGCCATCTTACCTTCTCCAGATATTTAATTGCCCCAAAGGTCCAACAAAACTACCGAGGCAACATGGGTTTAGCGGTTTAGGGTTTTCGGGCTTTACGTCCCCATATACGGCAAACTGGATGGTTTTGGGGGTGTCCAAAGCCCCATAATTCGGGTACTTGGACTGTTAGGGTTTATTCTCTTACCAGGACCTGTAAAGTAGGGATCATAATTCACAATGGCCCCCAGCCCCCAAAACAACAAACAACAAGTGCAGTTGGCCTGCATAATTTGAAGATTCCGGTTTCATCCCCCAATGTTTAAAGACTGAACAGTGATGCAGATATTGGTTTCCAACAAATACGGGGTACCCTTGGTCCTGAAAGGTTACGTAAGGTTATGAGTTATGTCGTATTATGTACACAAAGGTAGGTCCCTGTTTTTAGAGACCCAATCCATTATTGGGCAGTTGGGGAGTACTTGGACGTTCCGGGGTAAGAATGGCCTACTTCTCAGAGTCCTCCGCCCAAGCTTGGAATATACGGGCTGTAGTTACAAATAGATTCATTACCCTAAACCTCCAAGGAGGGGGATGTTCATTACTAGGGCGAGATACTATTTTACTAGGCGAGTTGAAATGCGTCAGGCTTGATGAGGATGGCAAGGGTTTTGGAGTTGATGATTCCAACAAGAAAGTAGAGGGGTTTAGAGTTTACAGCTTAGGCTGTTGGATTTGAGACCTGAGCGTGAGCGGCTTTTGATTGCGATTTACTTCCGAAGTGGTGTGAATTTATACCCTGGAGGAAGTTCGAGTACGTTTCACCTGACACTGGAGCTCCAAGTCTACAAAATGCTTCCTGCATCGGCCCCCCAGAAAGTCTAAAACTAATATGTATAGTTATCAATTTGAAGCACCTGGGATTCGGGACAACTTGTGCCTGCTGAGGGTTGCACGACAATTTTGAATTGGAGAGATTGGGGTTTCCCCAAATTAGGGGTACCTTTTTGGGGATCCCACTCTGGGGTCTATATCGGGGTCCCCTGCTCAAGGCAACCGCCAAATAACTTCTGAAAATTCAGATACACTACTGCATCACAATGCTTCCTATGTGGGGAGAGTGCAAAGGAATGCAGACAACACTTTAGGGGCTTCCAACATTCGTCTGTTACTGTAGATGGTATCCACCAGCACCTGGCCGTAAGCTACAGAAGCACTGAAGTGTGCAATTGGGGCCCAAATTCCTATACCCCACATTCGTTTACCTCACCTGTTGAGCCATCTCGCACTTTAGGCGCGAGGATGCTTCGCAGCTGTCCGAAAGCCTAAATGCCAAACCCTAACTTCAACCCTACACCCCCAAACCTCACCCTTGAAAAGGGGCTCGTGGCTTGGTGCGATTGACTACTCAATTTCTGCTCACACTTCTGGGAATTATCCGAGCACCAGACCGTCTGGCTCTTGCGCCGACCTCATGAAATTGACGTCGAAATCAAAGGTGGGATTCTGTACAAAGCTACGCTGCATGAGGCTGAATTCAGGGGCAATACCAAAGTGACCTAGCCCACCTTTTTAGCTCATTTGTGGCGGACACTTGTCTTTGCGGAAGATAGATCCTGTTGAATGTTCAGGCCTTCAGACTTCAGAAGGTCTTGGGTTCAGGAACAGAGGTTGAAGTTGTCATCTGCGAGTGCAGCTGCGCTTTTATCAAGGTTCTCCTTGAAAGGCTACATCTCCATAAGGTAGAGATACTGACAGCCATCACGATGAGCACGACTGCTACAACTACGCTGGTGCTGGTAACGAGGACAGCAGCTATGACTACGACTACTACGATGACTTTGCGGGTGGTTCAGGGAGAGTGGGGGGAGTGGATTCTCGCAATCATCCCTAGGCCCTAGAATATTAATCCCCGTATTATCTTATCCAGATATTCACTCCCCCACTCCCTAGGTGACTCCTGCTTCCACTCTGCTCCTTGCTCCCGTAATCCTCCTCCTTCTGCAACAACTTACACCTACTATATGGGTGGTTGTCAAAATTATGGTCCCGTTTTGAATCCCTATTAGAAGACGGCACCTCATATTTAGGGTACCCCAAAAGGGACCATAATTTTGACAACCGCCCATATACTTATTATCTACCCCATCACCTTCCTGGCCCTCCTGCTTTGCCTGCTACGCCTGGGTCACCCCCTCCACCTCTTTTCCTTAGGGGACCAAGGAACCAAACAATGGGGCTTAGGGCCCAAATACTAGAAATATTCATAGTATTTGGGCCCTAAAACCCTAACATTTGGGTCCTTGGACCCTTAGGGTAAGTTGACAAGGTGCGACGTGAGACAAACAGTATAGTAACACGTGCTGTGCAACTGTCACCCTGCTGTTGCTACTCTGGCTGGTTAAATTCTACTTCCCGGCCTCCTTCCCTACAATGCTACTGTTGATGGATCAAATCTTGCACCACCTAGGGGCCCTAAACTACTGTAGTTCCTAGAACCTTAGGGACTTAAGGTGGTGCAAGATTTCCTCCATCAACAGTATCATCCGCATTTGCACCCAAGCAACTTCAAGCTTCAACTGGGGGCAGAAAAGCCCCTGCCCTGAATCCAAGTAAGGCTAAGACTAAGATCGGCATGATTGCAAAAGTCCCCAGCAAAGAACAGAACCATAACCCACGCTAAACCTTAAACCCCTTGACCCTAAACCCCTTAACCCTAACCCCTAAACCCTAAACTCTAAACCCTTAAAGCCTTAAACCTGCCACCCTCAGGTTGAAGCCTACCGGCTGTAACCATCCGCGGACCTGCAGATCCTGCTGGGATACTAGAGGCTGCTTCCGAATTACAGTTTAGGGTTTGGGGTTTGGGGTTTGGGGCTTGGGGCCTGGGGCTCTGGGTTTAGGGGTTTGGGTTTAGGGCCTAGGGCTTAGGGTTCCGGACCCTAAGTACCTTATACCTTGGGAATTGTGGTACTACAGTATGAGAAGGCTTAGTAAGTTCATGCAGGGTCTTTAGTATCGACAGTATTGCTGTAGTGTTTAGAGTGTAGGGTCTAGGACTAAGGGCCAAATGCCCACAATGGTCCTTTACCCCAAGCAGTGGGTATAAAGGCTGAGTTGATTCTAGGCGGAGTGTTAGAATGTCAGTGTGCGCTAGAGAGTTACATGAGAAACAAACGCTGACATCAAGACCAGTGTTAGGTTACACGGGTCAGGGGTAGTGCTTACTGGATTCACGGCCGAGGGTTTGGGAACTTAATCCTGCTTGGGGCTTTCGCAGTGTATGATGCAATGTCATTGGAAATCACAGTACACAAAATGAGCTGGATTTAGCGTATGAGGCGGTGGAGAGCTCTACCAGATCTACACCCTCAATCCTAAGGACTTTCTAATCTGGGCCTTGCTTCCCAAGTCATTGAATATGGGGTCTGCTTGGGTTTGGGCTGAGGCTTTGGGGCTTGGGGTCCGGAGCCCCAGGATGAAATCAACAGGTGCCTGTTCAGACCTCCAGGCTTTTACCCCCTGGCGTCAGTCTCATTTAAGGCAGCTGTTGGGGGACAGAAGAATACGCTAGGAGAACCTCAAGCTAAAAGACAAAATCCTTGAAACCGAAGCAATCGCCAAAATTCCTGGGCTCTGCTAATGTCCTTGAAGTAATTATCCTGCACCTCAGATTCGTGTCCCCTGATTTCGGTCTGCAAGCTCTGAACCAGGATGAAGGCTCGGGCTGCGGATATTCGACTAGGCTCCCCAATAACCCATAGGCAATGAGGGTACCCTAAACCCTAAGCCTTTTTTCCGAATGTTCAGATTTACGCAGCAGACCCCAAACACAAGAAGGGGAAAATAGTGCTACTGGGGTACCTAGTAAACCTCGCATCTTACTTGGAGAGTAGGGTTTAGGGTTTAGGGTTGCCGACCTTTGTCAATGTGTCAGTACCCGTCTTATCCCTGACAACCCAAAAACTTACCTAGACCTCCGAAATACCCACTACAATAAGTACAATAGCCTCTATGAGCTATAGTCTAAACTCCTAGCATCCCCCTTAAGAAGCCCTATAGTACTCCCCTATATACTCCCCCTATATAGCCCCCTTTAAGAAGTTTAGACTATAGCCCATATACCCATTACTTTGGGAGGGGGGAGGCTTGGCAATTATGATGGGTATTAACCCTAAACCCTAAACCCTAGAAGCCTAGGAAAACCTGAGGCCTTCATCCAGAAACCCAAGTCATAAACCATTCATGATTCTTAGGGTTTAGGGTTTAGGGATCCCCTCCCTCTAATATTACAGTAATACTATAACACCCCCTAAGCTTCAATATGTATATAAAAAGATTCCCAAGATATTACAATATACTACAATGGGAGTATTTATGCTAGGGGGCTTAAGATGAGTTAAATTACTACATTAGGGAAACCCGATTATTTACTATATGCCCATATTATAGCAACTTGATTTAAATTCCGCAACGGCAACCCAGTACAATGCCGCCTGGTCCATGGGATAGAGACTGGCTTGGAAGCCTGCATGCAGGTCATGTTTGTGCTCTTCGAGGTACCAAATGTTGTACTCAGAAATTTGCTCGTCGAAAGCTTCCCCACGCCTACGAAGTCAGGGTCACGGAGCTGGATTTCAGAAGCTTGTGGGGCAGGGGGAAGAAATGTTGAGATCTGAGATCTTGGGTTGGTGGACGGAAGTAACCCCCTCTGCTGTTCTTATTGGTGGTATAGCAAGGAGTAGGGGAATAGAATCCCTACATAATAGAACGCCTTATTCCCTACTATCCCCCAGTGAGTCTTGTATCTAGGGTGTTGAAGCAGATTCGTTGGGACGACCTGCACCCCTGCCTTGCCGCAATCATCTGTGAAAAAAGTAACTAATGGAGTTTCCATCTGATTTACAGGTGTCTTTTTTTATGGACTTCATTAGGGTTGAGGGTAAGGTAAGGTACCATATTAAGGGTACATAGTAAATACCGGGGTTTCCGAATTATACTAACTTAATCTAACTTCCTCAATAGCAACCCCGTCATCGTAGAGCCGTGTGAAAGTGGTGGGAGCTGTATGTCCGGAATGCAGCCAAGCGGAAAGCAAATGGTAGTTTCCCTAAATTACTGTTCCCAAAATGGGGGAAATGTATATAGGGCCCCGTATTATAATGGGAACCCAAGTATAGGACCCCGTATTATAGGGAATTCAGACCAATCCCCAAATGTGTAATGCTTAGGAAACTTCCAGGCGAGTTGTTCGGGTCCTTCTTTGGTTCATGTCTTGGACTTTGCGAGGAGTGAAGTGGCTGGTACAGTCCAGTATCAGGGGTTCAGAGCTCAGAAAGATGACCTGATAATTTAAGCTTTGGTACTTGGCAATTGGGGGCTATTCGAGGGATGTATAGGAATGTTGAGGAGTCCTGAAGTGGAGGGGTTCACGGAGCTTACGCAAGGTCGCGCCAAGGTAGACCCACAAGAACTTGCCTTAGATCGTCTTGAGCGCAACTTTGCTGCAGGGCGGCATGGGGAAAGCCAAGAGAAACATAAGATATGGATCACCCAGCGATTAGCTGGGGTGCTCTTGGGCCAGGTACCTAGGCGCAGAAGTATGTCGTGTAGTATGTGGTTCTTTGTCTCTGTTGACGTCCCTGTAAGGCTGGATGTACTTGCGGCATTGACAGCATGTGCTTCCATTATCATTGTTTCTACTATCATCAATTATAACTATTACTATAAGTATAACTATTAAGATTACTACTACTGTTTCCAATACTATTACTAACTATATACATTACTCTTACTCTTACTACGTATTACTACTCCTGTTATTATTGTTATACTGACTGAACCCATGGAGCTTTTGGAGCTCCAAGGCTTTCAGATCCTGACTTTGACTCCATCCGCATACCAGCTTTAGCTTTTCTACCTTGTGGTATTTAGGGTTTAGGGTTTAGGGCTTAGGGGTTAAGGATACCAGCTTTAGCTTTTCTACCTTGTCGTATTTAGAGTTTAGGGGTTTAGGGCATCCGTGCCTTAAGACTACTGAAAATGTATAGGTGAATGGGGGTATTCATGAGTTCAGACTACTAAGCTGTATAGCTGCATGGGGTATACAAGGGCCAAGACTACTAAGCTGTAGGTGAATGGGGGTGTACAGCTGTGACCCCTAAAACCCATATCCGGCGCCTCCGGGCTCGTTCGGCCTGCAGTCTCACATTACAGGGCGGCTAGACACCCAAAGGATCTGGGGATTTATGGGGGGGACATGGGCCCTTATCGGGAGAATGTATAGGAACCATTGGGATTGGAGGATAGTATAGGTCTACCATCCCCAAACCAACCATGGAAACCCATACTGCCAGACAGGCCCCATTGAAATGGGCAGTGGTCTTCGCAGGGCCATTTTTGGGCTCCAAGGTCAATGTGAGCGGGGGCATGGAAACTACACAGGGGTTATTTCAGGACTATTCGCACAACTCCACCCTAAATGATCTGGGCTTCGGTAACTCTACGACGTGTCGGGACTAGATGGGTTTTAATCTCTACCGGGCCTAGAACTTTCAGTGCAATTACCGTGTATGCAGCTTGAAGTCTTTGAAAGGTTATCCTCAGGGTGTGCTTCTATGGACCTAGAGCTATGTAGCCTCACCTAAGATGAAGAGCTTTGGGGGGTGACCAGGGTTTGTGGCACTGTCTTCGGACTGCGTCATGTGATGCACCATGGGTTTATAGTAAGCGGTAGTAGTACTACACGATCAAAGCTGAACCCCTCAACAATGAACCCCAAGTCCTCAACCCTAAGAACGAAAGTCCGTCCCCAGGACGGCCTCACCTCCCGCAACACTTATGGATATATATATATATATATCTCTCTCTCTCTCTCTCTGTGTCTGTGTGTGTGTGTTTGTGTTTGTATGTGTGTAGGCTAGCAACCGTGGAACCTCAACCCAAAATCTGTCCTTCCCTCCTTTCCACTCCCGCCTACAGGCAGCGGTAATGTTCAGCATGGCAGGAATAGTGGTAAGATATGCAGTAAGGACAGCAAAGATCAATCTTTCATGTCCGTCCCATCTTCTGGGCATCGTAACATCACCATCACAAGCATGATACCAAACTAGTTTGCACGGATTATGCTGATGATGCTGATGGTGATGGTGATGATGACGGTTATGGTCATGATGGATCCCTTGAAACCATTAAAGCAGATCCCCCTAGCTGTACCCCTCAGCTAGGAAACTCATGGCAATACCAGCCTACACGTCTGCCTCCTGTATTCCTCCGGGCAAGTAACAAACACAATTCATACAAGTGGGGCTGACCGCTAAAGGATTCATCTAAAACAGAAATATGGAGTTTTGGGCCCGACTACAATCTGAATGGCTTGGGCAATCCCAAAACCCTGTCACTGGGGCACTTAGACCCCCGGGGAATTGAAAGGCTCACTCTCTCTGCCTAAGAGTCCGTAACATCCAGACCCTGAACCCTAAACTCTAAACCAGCAAACAATATGCATGCTGTTGATATAGCAAATTCTCGGGACCGTTAGGTGCAAACCTCAAGGTCCAGAACATCAGCGTGCCTCAAACAACCCTATAGCTCTGCCATCCACACCCTTAAAGACTGACCATCGAGCTCCCTGGTCCGAGATAAGGCAAGACTTCAAGTATTCGCGGTTTCTGTAATTGGTTTGAAGTCATCTGCTCTACTATGTGCTCCATGCCTCGTGAAGGAACCACCTCTGAACCCTTTTCTTATACCACAGAGCTACATGGACCCTATGGTTTGCTCTTCTGGGATGCGGACCGGTGCTGGTGCTGTTTCCGGACGCCGCGACCGGCCATCCACCGTCAAAGGCAACGTGGTGGAGCGAACGTTTGGCGGCTGGCAGGTGGCTTGGAAGTTCTGTAATTCTGTACTCCCCTCAACCCCACAACAAAAGTACTCTCTTTAGTGGTCTTGTTGGCTATAATAACTAAAATGCAGATCAAATAAAGTTCCTGAGGGGATAGGAGAGTCCATGGTTCAGGATTGAAGGCCAAGGCTGGCGGGCTGAGGCTCAGAGAGTGGGTTGGGGCGCAAGGATTCTGAGAGGAATGCAATCCTCTCTTATAACCCATTATAGTAGTTTCCATTTTCTTTTCCATTCTCCCTATGTAGCCCCTAATATAACCCCAATATTATGTGTTTTGGGATTGGATTCTGGTTTTCTAGGTTCCGCAAGTGGGCTTAGGGGTGGGAAGGGATGAAGGTTCAGCTGGCCAGCTGGAGGCGTTCAGGCAGTAATGCAGCAGGCCTAAGCAACTCAAAGAGGTTTTCGGGGGGCTGAATGTGGTATCACATTGCATGGGATATAGGGTAATGACACTGGTCATAGGTTCGGCCCATATGTTTCCAAGCTTATGAAGATAGAAACGTATTATCGTATGGTTGTTCAGGTAGACACGAAATCTCAAACTGTAAACCCTAAAGCCTGTACCGATCATGCAGATGGCATATGTGTGCTAACAGTTAGTATGTACATATGCTCGTTATGTTGACGTGTATGACCCGGTTAGCCTGAAGGCTTTAATCCTTCTACCTATATTCAATACCCTTTAGCCCTAGAAAGAGGCTCAAACATCAGAAGTCAGGGCAGATGATTTCGGGGGATCTCGTATGAGAAGGACTTCCGAAAGCACAACGCATCAGACCAGTTTCAGAGGAACAGCAAAGACTACACTTAAAGCTAGGCCTCCTTCAGCATCTAGCACCCCGCATGCAAGAACACATGGTCCCTAGACCCGGCTCCTTCAGCCCTCTGGTCTGAGATGCTTGCTATCACTACCATTGCGATTAGGACTTTTACGACCACTTGTATGATTGTTAGCTTTTATACTCTTATTGCGAACATGTGTATTCTTGCTATTGTTACCAGTCTTGCTACTGTTGATGTTGTTACGATTTTTACTATTACTGTTATTAACATTATTTTCGTGTCCCTTGAGGTGCTTTGCACCGTTTACCTCTTTCGAAGACCCAAACAGCAGATCCCAGAGAACGCCAAGATGCCTCGTCGGGCATTCTTTGCCCGCGCCCCCTCGAAAGACATAGGAGTACATGTGTTAAGTGGACATCAAGCTGTTGTTCTAACATCTGGGCCTCAATCATCATCCTTGAAGGAGCCCTAAACCCTAAATCCTAAACCTTAAACCCCGAATCCTGATTCCACAATCCTAAACCCTAAGCCCTATGACAGTTTAGTACCAGGTTTCGGGCTCGCGTTTTGGATTCATGGTCTGGACTTGGTGCAGGGGGGTTTAGGCTTTGAAGGGTTTACGGGCGGGTTTAGGATTTGGTCAGGAGTGCTCCAGGTTACGTTTTGTAGGTTTGAGGGGGGTACGGGTGATTAATCAGGGATTCGGATTAGGAGTTGTTCATAGTTTAGGGCTGGTTTTAGGCCCAACTTCCCTTGTAAGTTTGAATTTGGGGAGGCTGGGGCCTAGAATTTGAGTACAGACCTGGGTCTGTAGGCCAACTGTTGATCCAGAGGCTCTTTGCCATGCCTGAACCTTAAGACTTAAAGGGTTAAGGGATTTACCTGAACCCCCAAAGTATGTAGAATAATTGCCTTTGGGGCTATATTTAGGGCGTTTGGGCTATTATTTTACCTACTCTTGGGGTCCAGGTAGGGTTTAGGGTTCAGTCGTTAAGGGTTTAGGGGCTTAGGGTTAAGACTTAAATTGGTTCCCAGAAGGGAAGTTTGCGCTGCCAAGGCCTTTAGATTCAGTACCTCACCATTGTCAAGAGCAGCCTTCCCCAAAGCATGTAACTATATGGGTAGTTGTCTAAACTCCTAGTATCCCCCTTAATAATCCCCATTATAGTCTCCTATATAATCCCCTTTAAGGAGTTTAGACTATAGCTCATATGGTGTATACCTGGGCCTTAAAGTAGGTTTATGGGAACCTCTTTTGGGCCTCAAGTATATACCATATTCCTACATGGACCCTTTGGGGTCGTCAGGAACTCATCAAGATCATCCCCGAACTGATAAGATGTGGAGAAAGGGGCTTCGCATCTCGGGTTTGGGGTTTCACTCGGCAACATAATGGCCGTTTGTCAGTTTGTATGCTCCCTGCAGCCCTGAAGAGTGGAAACAAAAGCCTGTGAAAAAGTAGCTTTAAAGAACTAAATGAACAGTACCCTACTTCACATGGCCATGTCTTATGAACCGTAAGACTCGGCAAGGGGGAAATCCATCGCTAGACCTCCGAGCTTTTTGGCCAGGAGCGTGCCCTCATGGACCCCGCCGAAGGCTGGGTTGCTGTTCGCGAACTCAAATAAGTTAATGTTATGTGGGTTTATATACCAAGTAACGGTTCCCTTGTAAGGTAGCTAGGCTGAAGTTTCCCAGCAGCAACCGAAAATGCACAAATATATTTCGAAGGAGGGCCAAGTCTAGACGGCCTTACTCATTCGTGGTTGGGAGGTGTGTTGCCCTAGGGACCAAGCCAGGGTGCTGTGCCGGGATATGTTAAGGCTTCGGGTTTACGCCAGGGTTCCAGGCAATTATCAAGGATACGCATCCCCCCAGGTCTATACTGCAGTTGATACTATCAAAATCCAAAGTACCCGAGCCGAGTTTTGGGTACCTGGACCGTTTTGGTGAGGCTTGAGGTTTTGGTGTTTTATATAGGGGTGAGATATCTAGAATAGCGCTTTTGGTGTATGGCAAAGGATTAGACAAGCATTATGAGGAACAATGCTCGTCACTATTCAGGTTGTTCAGGAGCCCAATGTGAGCTATAGTTTAAACTGCTACTATGCCCTTTCATATCCCTATAATACTCCCCTATATCATGCCCTATATAACCCCTTTTGAGGAGTTGAGATTATAGCTCATGCAAGTGGCTACTCTGTTGTGGGGGTCCTTCTTGACGTTCCGCATTCGTTTATGCCTACACGCTAGGGTCTAGGGTTCCTGGTGTGTGCAGTTTGTGTTGTAGGCCGTGTCTCTGAGAGGGGTTAGACTTTAGGGCTTATGGTTTAGGGTTTAGGGCTAAGGATTCGGATTTAGGGCGTGGGGTAGAGGGTTTAGGATTTAGGGTTTAGGGCGTAAGGTTGAGGGTTTAGGATGTAGGGCTTAGGGTGCAGGGCTGGGTCCAGTTGCAAACTTATGTAGAAAACTGGCATACCTTGCGAGTATATACACCCTGGGCTTTCTCAACAACTACTACCGTCAAGATGATTCAACGTTCGAGGTAGCGCCTGAACTAAACCCTATAAACCAGAAACCCCATACCAACCCCAAATCCTAAACGCTTATCAACCCAAGCTGCTAAACCCTAAAGGTCCCATTGAAAAGGCTTTGAGCCCAACCCCCCGTTCCTCTGCTTCACCTGAAATTCTGAACCCAAGCCCTGAACCCTAATCCCTGAACCCTAAACCCCAAACCCTTAAACCCTAAATCCGAAACCCTAAACCTTAAATCCTAAACCCCTAAACCCTGAACCCTAATCTCAGAATCCCTCTCAAAACCCAGGGTCCCCAAAAGCACTCCTTAAGCTCCAGGCATAGGCAGCTTGGGACTTTTCGGGTCCATTGCCGCAGGGGGACCGCCTTAGGGGCTTCAAACAAAGCTCTGCAGGCTCTGTTAAACTGGGTTCGGGGCTTGCACTTTAGGGCTTAGGATTTAGGATTTAGGGTTTAGGGTTCTCTAAGGAGAATCAAAGGGCAGTCCCAAAGGTTCTTGGAAGGGTACCCGCTGAAAGGCGCCCCTCTTCTTTGGACTCAGGTTTAGGCTTCAGGGAGGCTAGCTGAGAAGTGTTAGAACCCGGATGCGAACTCAACAGGCTGCATGTTGTTGGCATGTACACTTCTGACACGGATGCTCCGAAACTTGGAAGTGAGAACAATGCAGGGTCGAATCTAAACCATGAACCCTACACCCCGGAATAGGGCTTGTATGGGTTTAATTACAGCCTGTTGTTCATGCTCAGGGCCTATACAAGCAGATAGGGATCTGGAGTTCGTGCTACCTTCTTATATTATTCAACAATGAGGGGGTTATAGTCCTTATTCTTTAGATTATGGGGAGGTCCTTCTTACGGGCTTCCCTCAAGTACTTGACTTGTGAGACGGTCCAAAAAGGCAAACTTAAAAGAGAGAGAGAGAGAGAGAGATACTGCAAGTATATGCATACACATATATGGGTGGTTGTCAAAATTAGGACCCCTTTTTGGATCCCTATTATAATACGGCACCTAATATTCAGGGTACCTAAATGGGACCATAGTTTTGACAACCACCCATATGTACCAACTTATGCTTTGGGCTGAGAAAGGAGACTATGTGGGCTGTCTAGAGATCGTGGCACCTACTCGGAGGGTCAGGGGGCTTAGCAGGTATACTCAGAACACCTTAAAATCTTGTCACAGCACCAGTTATCCCTCAGGAGGACCCCCCACCCTGTAATAGTGGTATAATCCCTATTATCCCCTATAGTCACTACTACTGGGTGGGGGGTCCACCTAAGTTATCCCTGCCATAAACCTACTTACCAAGGTTCTGACATCCAGGCTGGATGAATGACTATCTGCCATTCCAAGGATCCCAAAAACACTGGCTGAAGTAAGATGGCGTAGCTTTGGTAGGAACAACTGCATGATCCAAAGTAACTACCTACCTTAGGCCTTGGCAATTATGGTGCTGTACTATGCTACAGTCATGCAGGATCTTTGGTATCAACAGTAGTACAAGCACCCTCCGAACGACGGACCCACTGCTGGAGGGAAATATAATCCGTATATAATCCCTGAATACCCCCTATATAATATATTCCGTATTACCCACTTTGAGGTGTCTTGGTGGTTTCATCCAAATGCGTACGAGATGCGATTCACGGGTGACCTTCCTTGCCAAGCCGAGTCGACCTTTCTGCATGTGAGATATATAGTCTACACCCCCACCATCCCCCTTGATAACTGTAGTACTCCCCTAGAAAGGTTAAGGAATTTAGACTATAGTAGCTCATATGCTGGGGAAGGTAAGGGGCACACGACTGGAAAGGATTCAGCACCTTGCTGCTTGGGTGTGTGCTTCTGATTTGGTGCGGGTGTTGGGTCGAGGGGTGTGCCAAAGCTCTGAAGTCCTGAACTGCATGTTAGGGTTTAGGGTGTAGGGTTTAGGGTTTAGGGTTTAGGGCATCTACGTCGGTCGGATTACACTGTGTCACTAGGTTGCTGAGGACCCGAAGAATATCCCGTCCTGATTAAATGTTTGGACCCTCCAGGACGCATTTTCCCGCGGGAGACACCTCGCATGATCCATGCATTATTTGCCTGCAGGAGGGACTTTTTTCTTTGGTACTTATGTATGAAACCCCAAGTACCTATGACCGCCATGAAAGGGAACCTGACATTGGTCGTGATTTCTGACACAGGCGTGGAAAGGATGGCCAACATGCAGAGCTTGGTGCTTCTGCCGTGATAGGCTTTGGGAAGCCCCCTTTCCGTTAGTCATGAAGCCCCGGCACTCGCAAGAACGACTGTTTACCAACGTCGAGTGGTAGGATATCCGGGATGATTGGAACACTAGGAGGTAAGACTTCTAAGCACCAGCAGCAAATCCCCCTGGCCCAAAAACAGCACAAAGCCCAGAAACACTCCAAAGTGGATCCACACACATCTTGAAAACTGGCAGTTTGCAGGAAATGAAGGAATTGTTCAAGACTTTGGGGTTTGCAGGGGTGGAACAGAAGGGGATCATTATCCTATTTGGGGCCTATATGAAGACTACAGTATAGAGAGCCATCCCTCCATTCCGTACTATGTGACAACCAAAAAAAAGAGGGGTGTGCCAAACCCACAGCCATATTTTGGAATTAGGTATCTTTTCGGAGTACCCTATACTGGACAATCGAACCGACAATAAAATGGAGAAGACTGCGGAGACGAAATGGAAACTACTGATTATGTGTCGATGTTAGATGCAATCCCTGAGGAAATGTCTTTTGCAGCGGGAAGAGGCCGTGGGAAATCGTGGCCCCTATTGGTTATGCGAGGTTTGGAGGGTATCGGTTGAGGCTTGGCCCTAGTTGGTTTAAACTCGAAACTTAAACCCGAAATCCATAGCCCATGAGGGCCCAGAGATGTTGCCCTTCCATAAATCCCATCCGCCTCACATTTAGGGATTCTATACGTATGTTGTTAGGACTCTGTTGCTTGGAGGAGTGTATAATGGTCTGAGATTCCCTTCATAAGAGATGTGCAACCCAATATGTTGTATTTTGGTAGGGCCTCAGCATGCGCCTAACCCGAGTTCTGTTGTGCCTACAATTTGTCGCATTTGTGACTTTAGATACCCAAAAGCCATTCAGGTAACATTATTGGTGGTCTAAAGCTCTGTTTTTGGGGCGCGTAGACCCTTAAGGTAGTGGTAGCGAGGACGTCTAAACCAATAACTTCATCTAAGCTCCCAAAGTTCAAGCTCTACCCAGAGCTTTTCGGGGTATCGATGGGTTCAAGGGCATTTGTAGAAGCACACACGCCAGTGTCTGCCCTAAGGCCTCTACTCTAGACTTTCCTGGAAGCTAGAAGCTTGGAATTCCACTCCGAGTCTTAAACCCCCCCACCCCCCTAATATTAAACATTCCCTATATATAAGAATATACAACAATAGGGAGTATTTGATACTAAGGGGGAATGGGGGGTTGTAATTTTTCGGGGAAAGTGTTAATCCTAGCACCCCTAAACCCAGGCCTTCATGGACGCATCGTAGCCTCCACTGCCACTTGCTGGTGCAGCCCTGGCCGTTAGGCTCTAAGGTTCCTAAACCCTAAACCTTGGGTACTGCCCCCACCCAGTAACAGTCTATATTAGGGGTCATATTAAGGGCTATATCTAACTATATCATAAATATTATCCAACTGTTACTGATGGGGGGCAGTACCCAACCTAAACTCTAAATAGTAGTTTCCATTTTTTGTCCATTATCCTAATATCCCCCCAATATTATCAGCCAATAAGATCCCCAAAGGTGCCCCGGCACCTGCTGGAGACCTAAACAAATACCTGGAAGTACGCATTTCAAGTGCTGCGGATCTCGGGATTTAGGAGTTACCACATCTGAAGGCAATGAGCTGAGTGAGCCGTTTGGGGACTTGAGGCCTGGTTTCAGTGACTCCACTACCTTCGAAATTGTCCGGGTCAACCTGGGATAGCAAGGTAATTATAGGGTGTTTCTCAACAACTGCACGGGGAAATCATACCCCTAAACCCTAAGCCCTATAAACCCTAAATGTTGCGTCCCTAGATGGGCAACTTTGAGAATGTCCCATATGACATCTTCAAACACCTCCTTCGCAGCATTACTAATGCAATTATCTCTTGCCGGATTTAGGTGTAATAACTGCATGCGCATCGCTAAGCAACACGTCCTGAAGGTTTAGGGGTTTAGGGCTTACTGTTGGGTCGAACCTGCAACCCAAGAACCATGTTGGGAGCACGTTAGAGCCACAAGAAGAAAGTCAACGGGGAGCTTTCTCAAAAAGCGGGTCTCTGACAGACCCCAGGGATATATGTATATGTTTATGTCTACATATATATATATATATACGTTTTCGGGTTTAGGCTGCAGGGTTTAGGGCATATGTAGATGGATGGATTGTGAAGACACTGCGGGGTTGCAGGAGATACTCTCTAGGAGTACTTGAGGAGTATTTTGAGAAACTCCGGGGGTATGGAGATACGACACATTCGCTGACAGGTAAGCCAAAGGGGACTAAACCCTAAACCCCTTAAGGTCTATGTAGGGCTTAGGGTTCTAAGGGTGCAAGATCAGAGAGTGCACAGGCGCGCAAAAGCGCTGTCAAGGCTATACAGCGTCAGCGGTACCCAAAAATGCCTGAGTTCAAAGCCCACGCCTTCCGAGTACAACAGTGTAAGTTTGTGGCGTACTGTGGCTTCGAGAGATGTCCACACCATGCTCCGAAAGGGTCCATGTACCCAAAATAAATTGTTTAGGTCCCAAATACTGTCGTTTGAATGGCTTTTCGTGCCAGATGCCCTCGTATGTGCGTATTTTGGACGCTTAAGGGCCACTGTGCATTTTAGGATGCAAGCGTGGGATGCTAAGGCTCCCTTGGCCTCCACAGAGCCCAAAGTAGCTGCTGATAGACATTGGGGGCCCATGTGCGAGGAGTTCTTGATAGACTTCGAGCGTCAGGGATAAACAAATGACCATCAAACCCTCAACCTTAACCCTGCGTTGCCTCGCAAAGTCCATGTTAGTCATGGTCAGCTCCACATATCGCTGAAGCTCATCAAACCTGTCACGCTTAGGTGAACAAGCTTGTCCTAGGGAGCCACATAGCCCAATGTATTACTTTAATCATGGAGAATCAAATGGAAAAGCAAACGGAGAATGACATGGAAACTAGGAGTTTAAGAGGGGTGTATAGGGATCCAAGTAGCCCCGTGTAGGTAATGTTTACACACTTCAGGGCCCAATGTAGGTATGATTTGTACTTGGATCCCTAGGGGAATCCTGAAAGCCTGGCTGACTAAAGAATGGATGCCTATAAGTTAAAGGTAAAGACTATCGGTAGTACTACAATGCGCGTCTGAAGAACCCAAGGGAAAATCTACCCAGCCGGGACTCAGGGTGGAAATCATGCTCAAACGGTTCTTTTTGCACTAGATTGCAGAGCATTTGTATTTTCCCCTGAACCCATAAGCCCCCAGCATGCTGGATAAAGGGTCAGGGGCTTACAGAGACAAGACATGGTCAGTTGGGGGGGGGGGGCCTGCTGGAGATTTGGTGTTTCCCAAAATTTGGGGGTCCCTTTTCTGGGAGTCTCCATAATGAAGATTAGAGTATAGGATGTAGTGGGGTCTACTTGCGAGTACCCCAATTTGGGCAAAGTATTTCTGGGTTACAGGCTTCTCCCGGCTTCTTGAAATGCGCGGGAGCGGACTTGCTCGCGCAATATGGAATGACGGCTGAACGAGGATGAAAGTAACATGAGGACGCGTCCAAGGACCCAAATACGCTAATACTAATGGTATTTGGGCCCTAAAAGCTCCATCATTTGGGTCCTGGACCCTTAGGGATAAGGACTGTATCGGGATTCCAAGAAGTAGAAAATGAACATATGCGTTCAAGCCCCAGAAGATTGGACTCCGATCCGCAGAACTTGCCATGAAAGTCTGCCATAGTATGCACTAGGACCCCACCCAACTGCACTTCACGTGGGTTTATGCAGCTTCTGTTTCTCGATCTTGGGGATCTATTGGGGTTACTATGGAGTCTGCTTTGTCTTGGTCCAGCCGCTTGAGTCGTAGTGCGCAAAACTTCCGACGTGCTTGCTATTTCTTAGATACTCAAAAGGTCCATGTAGCTGTAGTGTACATATGTGGGCCCTGAATGTAATATGGGAACTCCTGCTTCTAAGACCCTTTGGGATAGGAGGAGCCCCAACTACAAGTTTTGCAAAATGTGCTGCAGATCTCACTTGGCTCTGGCTTAGGAAAGCACGAGCATCCGAATTGACTAACGCACAAAAACGCTGCGCTCCGCGGCAAGTTAAATGTTTAGCACATGCAGAGGTCTAGGTCTTTTTCCGAAACAATGCTTTTACCCAGGTGGTCCTCCTATTCCAGACATACCCCTATTGTCAACTGCTGATGTGTTGAGACATCGGTTTGTTCTATCTTCAGCTCCATATCAGCGACTTCTTTGAAATCTGAGAGACTGCCCGCCATCTATGACTGAAAATCCCTAAGGGTCCAAGGACCAAATAATAGGGTCTTGGGGCCCAACTGCTGTATTATTAATGGTATTTGGGCTCTAAAACCCTATGATTTGGGTCCTTGGACCCTCAGGGAATTATTTAAAGGTCCCTGACGAACAGAACACTAAAAGGGCGTTTGTTGCAACAAAGAGTTCTCCTTTCCAGGCTGCCCAACAAAGGACCCACCATGTGCTCAAACAAACCAACAAGAGGGTCCCCGTAGCTGTCTAGCATGGACTCGGACCTGAAAGCAGCTACATGGCCACACATATACATAACCCGCGACAAAGTCACAGAAAATTTGTTAAGCCAGCCAAAGCCCCAAGCCCAAAAACCCAGAGCCCAAGCCAAAACCCGAGAGCCCTAAGCCAAAGCCCAAATCCGAAAACCCACAGCCCAAGCCCCACACCCGAAAACACTAAGCCGCCGAAAACCCAAAGACTTGGCAGGACGGCCTATCCAGGAACAGGTCCTGCAAACTTGGGGATACTGGACTTTGGGAGTTAGGGCTCTATTAGGTTTGCAATGTTAGCCCCTTAGGGTAACTTAGGGTTTATAGGGTTGAGGGGTTTAGGCTTGAGGCCTTGTAAGGGCCAAGTTGCATACAGGATAGGCTCGTTTAAGGCGTTTCGCCTTTGCAACACCCCTGAAGAACGGCGTTCCCGAAATGATGGGTTTGTTTTGGGCAGCCCTTTTGGGACGTCCTTAGAGCCAGCTTTTTGGATGTATGAAGGGGGAAACTGGGACGGGAGAACCAGACCTGACTCAAGAAAGAACACTAAAGTTGCAGATTCATGTGGCTCTATAATCCCAGACTCCAGCTCAAGTTTTTGTCTCTTGTATGTATATATACTCATGATGACACCAGTATAATGCCATGCGCCATATCTTATGCTAGGATCTTTCATTATTAGAGGTCTTGCCAGCATGGCAAGCTGCAATGAAGTCTCTGCAGCTTCCCATCCTGCCCAAACCAGCAGTGGGATCAAACACAGGAGACTGACTTTAGTGGGGTTTAGGGTTTAGGGTTGCGAGTAGGAGGGCCCTTGTAGTCGAAGCCTTCCAAGACGATTTCAACCTGCTTCCCACTCAGTTGACGGCTATCGTCTATGTAGCGCTTATTGGTTCTTAATAGGGAATAAGGGAATAAATCCCTATATAACCGCTATATAATGTATTCCCTTATACTTCTTCCCTTATCCCCAAATCCTGAACCCTAAATAGTAGTTTCCACCTTCTTTTCCATGACCCCTATACAATATCTTCCCTTAATGGCTACTAAGAACTCATTGTGAATTCAACTGCCCCACTGCGCATTGGTCATGCCCGGCCCCGTCTTACTGGTTATTAGTAGAGTCGGGTTTAGGGTTTGGAGTTTAGAGTTTGGGGTTTGGGGTATAGGGTTTGGGGTTTAGGTTTTCAGGGTTTGGGGTTAAGGGTTTAGGGGAAAAGGAAACTGACACGTACTGAAGTAGAGCATCAAATGCAAAATGAAATCTATTACATAGAGGTATATAGGCAAGGGAGACGAACAGGGAAACGCCCACAGTATCATAAGGGGATTTTTAGGGACTGCTACGGGGCTCCATCTTGTTTGAGGAGCGGGATTGTCACCCCAAACCCGAGAGTGTCCTCGATTTGAGGCATGGTGTTTCCAGCCTCAACAGCGCGCTACATTCAAGGTCCCTAGCACAGGAGCTCCACAAATTCTACGTTGCGAGGTGACGCAGCCGGCAGTTTACACAGGAAATAACGTCGCATGCGGCCTAGTCCCATATATGCAACATGTGGCATGAGCAAAGGGAGTTGGGTGGCTCTCGGGCGTAGTGAGTAGTGTGCCAACCACGGCTTGCCGTTTTGCTTTCTTGACGCTAAAATAGCACACCATTCAATTGGCCAGGAGGATGCGAACCTCTGTGCTTCGCGTGGCTTCCTGCAAAAATCTGTAGCTTTGCAGCACAGCAAGTAAAACCTGCCAGCCAGAAGTGCAAAAGCCCTGCTCAGGAGGTATACTCAATCCCACATAGAGCCGAAAAAATACATGTATGGGGCAGCTAGCACAACAGCAGGCAATTCCTAATGTGGAGCTCTGCTTATACTAATATATAGTAGTTTCCCGAAGTAGGGGGACCCCAGTGTAGACCCCAAAACACTATAATCCTAGTAAAGGGGAGCCCCCCAAAAATGCTACCCTAATTCTTGGAGACCCCTTATAGATATTTAAGACCCTTTCGGAAAGACGACGGTGCTTTCAGCAGAGCTGTGGCAACGAGTTTGGGACTGTTGTTGGAGCTATGGTTTAGGGTTTAGGGTTTGGTCCCCGAGTCTTCATGGGCTCCCCCGCCACCCCCCCACCTATACTACCACCCTTAAAGTGCCCCTTGAGTACAATCATGTAATCATTCAAGATAACCGAATACTCTAAAACTAATCAAGTGCAAGGCTAGGAGGGGAAGCTTCGGGGGTATAGGAGATGAATACCTGAAACCTGGCCCATGGGACCACTTATATACCCATCATGTGCCCAGGCCAAAACCTACAAGCCTAGGCTTTAGGGTTTAGAGTTTGGGTTTCAGGGTCATTTTTGAAACCTAGACAAGAAGTAGGCTAATCCTTAAACCCCTTCCCCCAACCCACTGCTACCCACCACAAGGCCTATAGGGTCCTGGGACAGATGCTCCCATAGCTACTGCCAAGCCCATGGGCCTCTGAGTTCTTCCTCTTCAGCCTATTTAATTAACGTTTCCTTGGTGGTTGAAGGAAGGATATATTCTGTTGGTGAAATACCGCAAGCAAGCAACAGTGATCCTCTGAGCCTTTTTTTTAGGGTCTATAGCCGTAGTATCACCATCTGAATGGTGCCCAGGCCAAGAACAGCTATAAGCTTGAAACCATCTGTGTCTACCTTAGCATTATAAACACTGGAGGAAAAGCGACCTAATCTTTGAGCCACTGACCAGCTCGTTGACCGTTGTGACCTGGAGGTTGGTAGGACTTGGGTCATTCCCCCTTGCAGGAACCTACTAGGAGCTATAACTGCACCTTAACAAGCCCCTTTACTGGGCTGCTGTTAAGGAACTTAAATTAAGTTACTATATTGGGGAAACCCCATTATTTACTTTATATACCCATTATGGTAACTTAATTTAAGTTCCTTAACAGCAACCCAGTTTAAGGATG